TTGATTGTAATAAAGAGAACAAGGTAGAAGTAACAATGTACAACTCTGAACACTAGATCATATAGGACATTGTGGCTTCAGCCTTCTTTCAGTACTTGCTCTGGGAAAAGTTAGCTATCATGTTGTGAGAACATTCAGGAAGCCCCTATAGAGAGGTCAGCATGGCTAGGAGTGAAGTCTCCTGACAATAGCCACAAGGAACTGTGATCTCCAGTCAACACCCATGCAAGTAAGCCTGTACAGAAGCAGATCCTCCAGCCTCATATGTCCAAATGATTGAAATCACATATAAAATCTTGACTACAATCACATAAGTGACCCTGAGTCAGAATCACCCAAATTAGCAGCTCCCCGATTTCCTACTCAGAAATTGTGTGAAATAATAAATGTTTGTTCTTTTAAGCCTCTAAGTATTGGAGTAATTTATTACATATCAATAAATAACACATCAATAAATAATAATATACATCATTTCAAACTACTTAGTTACACAAGGAAAAAGAATAACATCAGTAGAGAAACATGGAGGACACCACATTAATAAAATAATCAAAGCGAATATCATCAGTAATAAAGCAAACTGAACTTGTGGGCCAATACCTGACAAAGATGCAGAGCCTGAGTCTAATCAGGAGCAAATACCAGACAGTCCTAAACTGAGAAATTTTCTGCAAAATAACTGACCTGTAATCTATAAAAAAAATCAGAGTCACGAAAGTAAAAGAAAGACGGAACTATTCTAGACTGAAGGAGACTAAAGAGACATGACAGCTAAAAGCAACAGATGATTCTAAACTAGACATTATTGTGACAACTGTTAACATCTGAATATCTTAGTATTAAATGATATTAATTTATCAATGTTGATTTTACCTATTTTGATGGTTGCATTATATACTTGTTTACAGAAAATAGACTCTAAAGTACTAAGGGATGGTTGGGCCTCAGGTATCCCATTTACTACTAAATGGTTCAGAAAAAACAGTTTTCTGTACTGTACTTACACTTTTTTGTAGGTTTGTAAAAATAAGCAGAGGAAAAATGGGAAAAGGTCTATATAAAAGCATATAACCAACTGACTTTAGTAGTGGAATGCCTGTAGGGCACCAAATAGCAAATTATAATCTTTCAAGTATACTAATGTATTACCAGAAAGGCAAAAAAGATAGGGAGTATAGTTACAAGATGAAGTGTCTCTGAAACCTTTGTACTATACTGACAATATGTTATACAAAGTAGTTTTTATTGGGGGGAGATACGTTTTTAATATTCAAGAAGGAAAACCTGTCTCCTTTCTAACTTTAATAGTAGTAGTATGCATCAAATTAACTGCAGTGTAGAAATACTAAAATGATAGGTCTCTAGGGAAATCACAGGGGATTTTTTTTAGCACCACTTTTTTTTCTTTCTTCCTTCCTTCCTCTCCTTCCCTTCCTCCTTTCCCTTTTTTTCTTTTTAAATAGAGATGAGGTCTCGCTATGTTTCCCAGACTGGTCTTGAACTCCTAGGCTCAAGCTGATCCTCCTACCTCAGCCTCCCGAAGTGCTGGGATTACAGGCATAAGCCACCATGCTTGGTCTTTCAGCATCACCTTTATTTATTTATTTTTTATCTTTTGAGTTGGACTCTCACTCTGTTGCCCAGGCTGGAGTGCAGTGGCATGCTCACGGTCATGGCAGCCCCCTGCTGGGCTCAGGCGATCCTTCCACCTCAGTCTTCCAAGTGGCTAGAACCACAGACATGCACCACCACACCTGGATAATTTTTTTTATTTTTATTGTAGAGACGAGGTCTTGTCAAGCTGTCTAGGCTGGTCTCAAAACCATGGGATCAGGCAATCCTCTCGCCTCAACCTCCCAAAGTGCTGGGATTATATGCGTGAGCCATGGCACCCAGCTTTTAGCACCAGTTTTATATCCCCATTCTAGAGTATGACACCTTTAATGCTAAGCTCCCACCACCAAAATAGCCATCCCCTAGAAAAAAATTAGAAATTCACTGCTAAAAAATAAACAATGGCTTCAATCTTTTGAAAAAGATATAGCATGTTATTATAATCTTGAAATCTAAAAAAAATTAACATGTGTCAGCATCAGATACATTTTATGTGGTAATAGGCTTTCTCAATCTTGAAACACATAAACACTCATAACTGTTGTCTACTCTGCCAATGGTGCAGAAAGCCAACATCACTTCATTCTTAAGTCACAATGGTGGGGACATCATAAATGATGTGCCTCTCATTGTACTAGGAACCAATAGCAAATATCTGGGTAAAATGTCCCTGACTCTAGGGCAAGAGAATGTTAGTTTCTTTCAACAGAAAGCTGCCTTTAATTCTAATTCCAGCTTTAAAACTGAATAAGAAAACTATGTCTGTAATAAAGAAAGCTGAAATCAAAGGCATGGTCTATGGAAGAGTAGCTTAACAAGCCTTGACCTAATGAAAGGAGCCCTTACACTCAACTGTATCTTAGCCACTCAAATTCAAACACCTAAGTCTCCTTCCTTTGCTCTCAAGCTCAGTCTTGGAGTAAAAATATCACTGATAAATATTTAAACTTTCATTTATACTAATAAATATGAAACATAAGCTCTACAGGCACACAATAAAGAGAACTGTCACAAATAAACCATTAAACCAACCATGAGATTTTAAATGCTTGACATAGTACTATGCATTGAATGAGTGTTTCTTTTCTTTTTTTTTGAGTTGGAATCTCACTCTGTTCCCAGACTGGAGTGCAGTGGCCGTTCCCGGCCACCACAGCCTCGATCCTGGGCTCCGGCGATCCTTCTGCCTCAGCCTTCCAAGTAGCTGGAACTACAGGCGTGCACTACCATGCCCAGCTAATCTTTTTTTCAAGATTTGGTTTTCTTATATCTTGATAAACAAGAATTAAAAACTAACTTAGGCCAGGTTTGGTGGCTCAGTCTGTAATCTCAGCACTTTAGGAAGCCGAGGTAAGTGGATTGCCTGAGCCTGTAGGTTCGAGACCAGCCCAGGCAACTTGGCCAGACTTTGTCTCTACAATAAATTAAAAAATTAGCTGGGTGTGGTAGTGTATGCCTGCAGTTCCAGCTACTTGGAAGGCTGAGGCAGAAGGATCATCAGAGCCCAGCAGGTCGACACTGGGATGGCCGTGAGTGTGCTACTGCACTCCAGCCTGGGAGACAGAGTGAGACTCCAACTCAAAAAAAAAAAAAAAAAAAATTAACTTGCCCTACTGTGAAAACAGTAACATGTAATTCATATTCAAAAGAGATACCTACTAATTAAAGGTGCCAGTGATGGGAGTAATTAATTACAAGTTGAGCAAACCTAATTTGAAAATCTGAAATCCAAAATACTCCAAAATCTGAAGGTTTTTGAGCACTAATATCTCACCGCACATGGAAATTCCATACATAACCTGATGTAATGGGTCACATTAAAAACACAATCAAAACTTTGTATCATGAACAAAATTATTTAAAATATTATATAAAATTATCTTCAGGCTATATATATAAAGAATACATGAAACAAGTAAATTTTGTGTTTAGACTTGGGTCCCATCCCCAACATAGCTCATTATGTATATGTAAATATCCCCTAATCCAAAAAAATCTAGAATCCAAAACACTTCTGATCCCAAGCATTTCATATAGGGAATAGTCAACCTGTACCACAAAAGCAAAACTAGTCAATAACAAACAAAAGCAAAAGACTCATACTCAGAAGTTCAAAAGAAAAATATGCCAGATAATTGAATTCTATATTAAGTTATGCCCATTCTTCAAATTACATCTTAATAGTCAAGTATCAAAACTATAAATAGTATATATCACTCTTAGTATTTTTTCCTATATTTGTTCATTTACTTTGAAGACATTCCCTCTTTTCATTCTTACAATGCTATAATATATTTTTTCAAGTAAATTAATCTGTTTTAAAGTCTCATTTATAATTTACATACAGTAAAATTCACCCTTACCAAAGACATAGAATAGTTCCATCACCTTAAAAAATTCCCTCATCCCTGTTATAATCAATTTCCTTCCTCCAGCCCCAAGCAAACCACTGATCTGATTTCTGTCCCTATAGTTTTGTCTGTTCCAAAGTATCATATAAATGAAATCATTAAGTATCTCTTAAAAATATGGCTCCTAGCCGGGCTTGGTGGCTCAGCCTGTAATCCCGCGCCTTGGGAGGCTGAGGTGAGTGGATTGCCTGAGCCCGCGGGTTTGAGACCTGCCTGGGCAACTTGGTGAGACCTCATCTCTACAATAAATCAAAAATTAGCCAGGCATGGTAGCATGCACCTGTAGTTCCAGCCACTTGGAAGGCTGAGGTGGAAGGATCGCTGGAGCCCAGTAGGTTGAGGCTGCGGTTGCTGGGAGTGTGCCACTGCACTCCAGTCTGGGCGACAGAGCAAGACTCCAACTCAAAAAAAAAAAAATTGGCTCCTTTCTCTTAGTCTTCCATGTTATTGTAAGCATCAATGATTCTTTTTTTAACTATTGAGTAGTATTCCATGTGCGTGTGTGTTTTACATTTTGTTTATCCATTTACCAGCTGGTAGACACATGGGTTGTGTCCAGTTTTATGCTGTTCATAAAGCCGCCAAATAAACATCTGCATATAGGTCTTTGTGTGGACATATGTCTCCATTTTTATTGAGTAAATACCTAGAAATGGGATTACTGTGATGTGCTGGGAGCAAGTATATAAAAATACATTAAGGATATAAAACTAATTGATCTTTGAAGCAGTAGCCCATATAGTTTAAAAGTCATTCTTCCAAAAAGGCCCCACTAAAAACTCATTCTATGTCTTTCACAACTCTTTTAATATTCAGTAATTGCTCACTGACAGCAATGGTTTCTCAAGTCGGACTACGCATCAGAACCACCTAGGAGGCTAGAACTTGGGCACTGATTCAAAGTTTTTAAATTAAATTAACAATAACAAAAGCAAAAGAGAGAAAAGACAGTTAACAAAATTTTTTATTCTTTACCTGAAAAGATCCACCTCATGAACAGTAGGTAAAATAACAGATATATTTGTGTCTGCCTAAGAGATAGAAAAGAAAAATAATAGAGAAGATGTAACCAATATTTACAGAAATTAACTTGAAAAATATGCCTATCTCAAGATTAAGAAACCATGTTGCCCTGTCTACCTTTTTAAGATTCTCCTCCTCCAAGAGCAGCCAGAGAGAGAATGGGTCTTACCAATTTTCTCTAGTTTAGCAGAAAATCAAGAATAACACAAATACCATGGATAAAAAATGAATCTAATAGACAGATGTTAGATTAATTTGCAACTGTATGAATTACTACCATTAATACCAGTTGATATACTCATATGTAACAAGCAAAATTAGTTTTCCTACTCCTTTCCATTTTTATTCAATTCAAAGAACAATGATAATTCTACACTAGTTAAATACACCAGTTAAAATATTTCAAATGAAAACACCAGCCTCACCCATGAATAGATGTTGCTTTTGGAAAAATAAAAGACAATCATAACTACAGAATCCTTTTGACTGAGTCTCCTAAAATAAGAAGTCTGCTGGCCACCCTCCTAAGTCAAGGGTTTTGCCAGAATCAAATCTTGTTGAGAAGAATATTTACTTCCTTTTTATCCTCATAAATACAGTAAAAATTCTGAATTCTCCAGGATCTACTAGAGAAAAAAACAAAACAAAAAACCCTAAGAAGCATTAGAAAGTTTATTATCAATTCATTTAAAATGATTTAATGGAATATTTCAGTTATACTCAAAAATACATAGTAAACCCAAGAAACTCTGCATTTGCTAGTTTAAGAATTCTGTTAAAGAGACTATATGTGCTGGATCATTCTACCATAGTACCACTCTACCTGCTGAGTTAACTGCACTATTTGAGTCGTCCCAGGCTTGTCATGACACGTGGGAATCCGTACCTTAAAGAGAAAAAGAAGACATTATTTTTGGCTGCAAAAGAATGAGAGATCAGAAATGCTCTATCTTACTGCTAAAAAGGTACAGTTAGCAATGTCTAAAAAGTTACAAAAACAAATATTTATGTCAGGTTAAGAAACTAAGGTCATATTTATTTTTAGTCACAGCAGAAAGTAAGTGAACCAAGGTCTCCATACTCTCATACACACAGAAATCACTAACTCACTGAGAAGCAAATATGCTGAAAAACAAAAAAGGGACATCAACTTCACAATTTCCTGTTTATTGTTCCAATCTCTGTTTCATTAATATATACACACCCAAACACACCCTCTCAAGCTTGCCAAACTTTTGGATAAATCTCACAGGGAACAATGAGAACTCTCAATCCAAAGCTATTAGTACTACTTTTGATGACTTCCCAGGGAAAAACAGAATATACATCCTACAAAAATGAGCACATCTAAAGAGATAACACTGTCAAAAATAAGACCAATTTGACAGTGAAATGCAAATCACGTAGAGAACACTCGCACCAAGTCTCAGAGCAAAATGCTAATTCTTTTAAAAAAAAAAAAAAACCTTAATAGAGAACAATACCCTAGGATGAACATGTTTGGTCTGACATTACATATTAAGAAGATCATTTAGGACTAAGAACAATGGTTTTCTTAGTTAATACTAATTCATACTCAATTCTAGGCTCGGTGGCTCATGTCTGTAATCCTAGCACTTTGGGAGACCAAGGCAGGAGAATCACTGAGGCCAGGAGTTTGAGACGAGACAATACAGTAAGACCCTGTCTCATAAAATAAATAAATAAATTCACCAAAAGACCCCCCAATTCATACTTGATTCTACAAGTAACCTGTTTCTGCATACCACCCATCTCCAGAGGCATTGGTAGACCCATGGAGACACAGAATTCTAGGAGGTGCATTTTACATTAATGTTTAACACACATGAATGACACTTTCCTGAAAACTTTTAAGATGCAATGAGACCAGAGGCATCTGAAGCTATGTGACTAAAGGTTCTAGGAAGCAGAAGGAATTGTGTTATCTCTGTAATACCTCATATTAATGACAAACAAGTAAAAGCAATAATAAGACTAAATGTTATTAGAAAGTTGAAAAGCAAAACCTGTGCGAACTTCCTACAAAGTTCTTTTATTTTTTATTTTTATTTTTTGAGTTGGAGTCTCACTCTGTCGCCCAGACTGGAGTACAGTGGCCGTTCCCGGCCACCGCAGCCTCGACCTGCTGGGCTCTGGTGATCCTTCCACCTCAGCCTTCTGAGTAGACAGAATTACAGGCATGTGCTACCATGCCAGGCTGATTTTTTTATTTATTGTAGAGATGAGGTCTCGCTGTCCAGGCGGGTCTCGAACCCACGGGCTCAGGCAATCCACTCACCTCAGCCTCCCAAAGGCGCGGGATTACAGGCTGAGCCACCAAGCCCGGCTCAAAGTTCTTTTAAACAGAGACAAATGAGATATAGAATATTACCTTCATTACCACCCCCATGATAGGCAGGTGTAATGTTTTCCCTGGCACTGGGGCAGGCCATCGATCAACATCATTACAAGCTGAAAAATATAACAAAATATTTTCTTGTGTTAGTAGAAATACTATAGTATTAAAAATAGGACATTAGAAATTAGAACACTTCTTTCTATACTGGGAAGAATGAAAGATAAAAGGTGAAAGTAAAAGTACATTTCACTCAGAAGTACATATATGTTCTAAAATATAAATTGGTTGATAAAATGCTTGAACGCAACAAACTGACAGGTTTAAAGGAAGTTTTCCTACTCATCAACCACTACTAAAATGAGCTACAGAAGCACACCAGCTGGCAAAGGCCTTCCATTTGTACTGCATACATAAGGGTTTCTGTTTACTAGTACTCTGAGTATTAGAACTGTCAACTCAAAATTCATTTATTATCTTAATGGACAGGTGCCATCAAAGAGATGAGATAACAAAAGACAGTTTTTGATGTCTGTAGGTAAAGATGCTAAACAAATAATTTTATATCTTTCTCCTATCAAATATTCCTTAAATTCTTGTTGTTTTTAGAAATCAACTTCATTTTCATCACTCATTTCCAGTAATATTTTTAAAACTCTTTCAAAAAAGTATACCACTCATACAATGTTTAACTTACCTGCTTCCAAATAAGGTTCACTCTTTTCAAAATATTCTGGAGCTATCTGTTTCAGCACAGTGTGAAAAAAATGAATATAAGGTAGTTTGCTGATCAAAACCAATGACTGAAGGGGAAAAGAAAAATTTTTTTTAATCATCTGATGATTATAATTTAAATTTGCCATTCATTTCTTGCATGAGCAATTACTAACAAGCCAAATTCAGCAAAAAGTGTGTATTTTAAAACAAAAAGGTTTTTACAGTGAATGGTTAAAAGGAAACATAAAACCATAGCTGCAGAATGCCAAAAGTTTAACCTTATTACTATACTTGAAGAGTATAAAAGCATATTAATAGACTTTCCTGTTCTTCAGGAAAAAGAATTTCCTATAAACAGACTAATGTCATGGATAATTTCCAAAGCCCAACTTCTGTTGTCTTCAGCATAGAAATATCAGGAATTAGCCTTCTAAACTCTTGATACTAAGGAAAGAGCAAACTGTGATGCTTTTGCAAAAGACGATAACTGTTATATTTTATATAGTTTAATATCATAGCCACATACTTAGATATTGTAACTTTATAGTTTATATAGTTCAATATCATAGCCACATACTTAGATATTGTGACTTTATAGTTTGAGTACTTCAGACATAAATTATGCTTATATTTTTTAATGTATTTTTTTCTTGAAAACCAATCTTTACCTTTCTATCCAACATCAATTAGTGGTCAGAGCAAATTCTGGTTATAAAAGGGAAAGGTGTATCTTGTTAGCTGGGATTAAATAGAACAGATTGATTTGTATTTTAAGAAAGAAAAAGAGTTGTACATTTAGAATGGAAATAAAAATGGCTAATATGTTGCTAAAATTTATTTACTGGCTATTCAAGAAAAAGATAATGTAGGTTTTTATTAGTTGTAATGGTGTCACATGTTTATCTCTTCCCTTTTTTTTAAAATGTCAAAATTAAGCAGACTCTTCTGACTTTTGACAGAGTTCCATACAATAACTATAACTTACTGTCAGGAATCTAGTACAGAGACAGTAAAAATTCTATTGCAGTTAAACATGTAGGAACAGGTGTTGATAATCTAAAAAACAAAGAAAAAATATAAACCCATGTGTGTATACTATATATGTACATTCTTTTTTGGCAGAGATTGAGTCTTGCTATGTTGCCCAGGCTGGCTTCTAACACCTGATCTCAAGTTATCCTCCTGCCTCAGCATCCCAAAGTGCTGAGATTACAGGTTGGCTACCACGCCCAGCCTACCTTAGTATATTTAAAGATAAAATCCCAAAGGCTTTAAAGACTGTTAAATCTAATAGTTTCTGTTTTTCTAATAGTAATACAAAAATACTTTTTTATTAGTGTATATGAAAATTACCTTCTGAAAGTAGCCTCTTTTTAGAGTTTTATCTCGAACTTGACGGAAATACACATATCCATAAAAGTAAGCAGGGTCCTTCTATGAAAGAAGTGACAAACAAATACATAAAGGTGTTGCTACCCTTTAATATTAATGCCACACTCCTTTACAAAGCGAAATCAAGATATGAGGTATGCACAAAGAGCTAGTTATGTTTTTCTACCAATAAACAATAATTTTGGCAACTGCCAATAAGATAAAAACTTTCAACTCTCGACATGGCCCATGCGATGTCTAAAAACAAAAACAAACCAAAAGTTTTGCACCTTGCCCAAAGATTAAATAATCATAATCTCAGTATTAAAGTGGACTAGATTAGATTTACATTTTTCCCCTGTAACTTCCTCAGCTTATATTCTTTAACTGTATCTATGCTAATTAACTGAAATTAGGAAACAAATTCTATGTTTTCCCCAATGCTATAATCTGTTTAAAATTCTACCTACAATTTTTTATTTTTATTTTATTTTATTTTTGAGTGAGAGTCTCACTCTGTCACCCAAGCTGGAGTGCAGTGGCCATTGTAACCTTGACCTGGTGGGCTTGGGTGATTCTTCCACCTCAGCCTTCCAAATAGTGGAACTACAGGCACCCACAACCACACATGGTTAATTTTTTTATTTGTTGTAGAGATGAGGTCTTGCCAAGTTGCCCAAGCTGGCCTCAAACCCCTGGGCTCAGGCAATCCTCTTGCCTCAGCCTCCTAAAGTATTGGGGTTACAGCCACCACACCCAGCATCTATCTGCAATTTTGAGTTTGTCACAACTAAGGGGTCAGTCTTTTAAAAAAATGAGGTGTCCTAATGTAAAATTTCAAGAGAGAAAAATCAAAGGAGATAAATGACAATCTAATATTAATATTCAGATGTCTTATATAGCTAGTTATACTTTAACCCAATAATAATGATTTACATTGCCTATCAACATACAATGTGAAATGTAATTATATTCCAAAGAAATAGAAACAATTTTTTATCTTAATGGAATAAACTTTGGCTCAGTTCCTTCTTGATTGTTATTACTTAAATATTTATTGAACACCTACTTTGTATTAGAGAAGATAAAAAGAAACAGGCCAGGCGCGGTAGCTCAGCCTGTAATCCCAGCACTTTGGGAGGCTGAGGCGAGAGGATTCCTGAGCCCAGGGGGTCGAGACCAGCCTGGGCAACTTGGTGAAACCTCATCTCTACAATAAAACACAAAAAAGAAAATTAGCTGGGCATGGGGGCATGCACCTGTTGTTCCAGCTACTTGGAAGGCTGAGGCAGAAGCATTGCCTGAACCCAGCAGGTCAAGGCTGCAGTGGCTGTGAGCAGCGTGCCACTGCACTCCATTCTGGGCAACAGAGTGAGAGTTCAACTCAAAAAAAAGAAAAAAAGAAACAATTTCTTAAGGAGATCACAATTTAGGAGGTATAAGAAAAGTACAAAAATGACCAGTATGTAATAGGAGGATGGGTACCATGAAAAAGTACAAAAATGTGTTAACAGGAAGACCACAAGGGAAGAGTAAAGATTTCATGAAAGCAGCTATTTTTGAATTGAGCACTGAAGGATGGATACGGAAAGACAAAGACATTCCAGGTTTAAAGGGCTAGGATTTTGAGCAAAAACAAAAAGAAACAGAAAATAAACACTATCTCAGGAAAAAGCACGTAGTTCAGTTTGGCTAAAAAATGACACAGAAGGGAGATGAGGTTTGGAAATTGGACAGGATAAAGCTCTTATCCTGGAAGATTCAAAAAGTAAGGATAAGGAAAAGGTACTATCATTAGCTCTTTACTCATTTAAGCAGTAGGTAGTCATTTTAGATTTTATTTATTTTTATAATATATATGTACACTTTAGCTGGCAATACTGTATAAGATATATTGTGTTGGAAAAAACAAGAGGTAAAAATACCCTTGGGCAAATTTCTCATCTTCAATAGTCCTCAGTTCCCTCATCTGTTAAAGGAACTTTCTTAGGGCACTGTAGGGAGGATTAATGAGATAATATACATAACATGCTTTTTTTTTTAATTGGGTCGGGGTCTTACTGTCACTCAGGCTGGAGTGTAGTGGCACAATCACGGCTCATCATAGCCTCAACCTCCTGGGCTTAGGCGATCCTTCTAACTCAGCCTTCTGAGTAGCTAGAACCACCATACCCAGTAACTTTTTTTTTTGGTCTTGCTATGCTGCCCAGGTTGGTCTGGAATTCCTGGACGCAGGCAATCTTCCTACCTTGGCCTCCCAAAGTGCTGGGATTACCGGCATGAACCACCATGCCCAGCCACTATATGCTTATTACAGTGCCTAGAACATAAAAAGCCCTAATAAATAATAGCTATTATTCTAATCAGCTGGAAGAATATGTTATAGTGGTAGCAACAGGACATGGAAAGGAGTAGATGTCTCTAAAAGACATTTTAAAGGTAGTATCTTTGCGAATGAGATGAGGTTCCTGCCATTAGTGGAACAAGGGAGGTACACTATAAAAGCTGACAGGACATTCAGATGGAAATGCTCCTCACACAGTTAGGGATGCAAGTGTGAAATATTAAGGAGAGAAAACTACAGCCTCTAAATCATCTGAATTATTAAAAAAAATTTTTTTTTTGAGTTGGAGTCTCACTCCAGACTGGAGTGCTGTGGCCACTCCCGGCCACTGCAGCCTCACCTGCTGGGCTCCGGCAATCCTTCCGCCTCAGCCTTACGAGTAGTCGGAATTACAGGCACGCGCTACCGTGCCCGGCTGATATTTTTTTTATTTATTGTAGAGATGAGGTCTCGCCAAGTTGCCCAGGCGGGTCTTGAACCTGCGGGCTCAGGCAATCCACTCACCTCAGCCTCCCAAAGCACGGGGATTACAGGTTGAGCCACTGAGCCCGGCTTATTAAAATGTTTTAAATAAATAACTAAAACTGTTATAATAAAGTATATAGAGATTACCACAGGGAATGACTACCTCAACACTGGATGCGATTTACTGTATAGTACAACTCCACCCCCACATCTAAACCAAGAATAACAAATGAAAGAAAATTACCTCAATATTCTATTCTATAATTCACACTGGCATTGCAATACATATCAAGAAAAGTAACTTTATAAAGTCTGTTTCATTCATATGCTGAATTCTTATGAATAAGACTCACTTAGAAAATCCAGCTATATAATAGAGTGGCAAAACAAAAGCAAAATACTTCTGAATGCTATCAGAGGTAACTGAATAAATGAGTTCAAAAGTTTCCTCTCATATGGGCAATTTTCTATGGCTACTTTTCCAACCTTTAAGTAAACTGGTAAATCTTTGTCAAATTGATCCAGGAGACAATGCAGTGACACCCTCCTCCCAGAAGACTGTCGAAATCTAAAACAAAACTGGGTATCTCCAAGACAACCTAATGAAAAAAAAAAATGAAAGAAATTAAAGATAGCTTAGTGTAACATTTATTTATCCAGTTTCATCAATTTTAGAGCTGAAGGACTCCTATCAATCATTTTAACCCATTCTGTCATATTTTAGAAGAAAAAAAAGGAAATCCAAAGAACTCAAGTGACTTGCTCAAAGCCATCTTTGCTGGCTAGAGGCAAAGTCAGAAGTAAAACATGTATCTTTGTTTTTTTTTTTTTAGTTGGAATCTCACTCTGCCGCCCAGGCTAGAGTGCAGTAGCACACTCACAGCCACCGCAGCCTCGACCTGCTGGGCTCAGGTGATCCTTCTGTCTCAGCCTTCCAAGTAGCTGGAACTACAGACCCACACCACCATGCCCAGCTAATTTTTGTGATTTATTGTAGAGATGCAATCTCACCAAGTTGCCGCTGGTCTCAAACCCCCCAAGTGCTGGGATTACAGGCTGAGCCACCCTGCCTGGCCTAAAATATGATTCTTAACCCCTAAGTCTCTTTATGATTTTTCCTATTTCATTTTCCCCAGATAAGTAAAATGTTTGGAATCTGTCTGAATATAATGTTGAATCACAAGCATAATAACCAGCAAAAGAAGCTAAACACAAGAGAACACATATCACTGAAATCCATTTATATAATAACGTTTTTTTTTTTTTCTTGAGTTGGAGTCTTACTCTGTTGCCCAGACTAGAGTGCAGTGGTATGCTCCCGGACACCACAGCCTAGACCTGCTGAGCTGCAGCGATCCTTCCGCCTCAGGCTTCCAAGTAGCTGGAACTATAGGTGCATGCTACCACGCCCGGCTAATTTTTTTGATTTATTGTAGAGATGAAGTCTCGCTAAGTTGCCCAGGCAAGTCTTGAACCCACGGGCTCAGGCAATCCACTGACCTCAGCCTCCCAAAGCGTGGGATTACAGGCTGAGCTACCGAGCCCAGCTTAATAAAGGTTTTAAAAGTAGGCAAGCTGGGCTCGGTGGCTCAGCCTGTAATCCCGTGCTTTGGGAGGCTGAGG